ATTCAGTGCCTATCATTTGTAAGAGTTGGGACAGCTCAGCCAGCATAACAACTATACTACAGACTGGAAAATAAAGAAATTTAATTCAATTCTCCACAGCATCCAGAGCAGATCTGAGATTCACCCAGCCTCCTATCCAATGGATACCACACGCTCTTTCTCCAGGGGGGGGGGTAAAGCTGCCATGAAGTGAACTGATCACTCACCTTTATTTAATGCTGAGACTAGGTATGCATAGAGCTATTCTTTACTCTCCCCTATCTTCATGGCATGATGCTTAATACAGCACCAGGAATTTACCTATCATTTGTACGATAAGTTACATATGAAGCATCTGATAATGTATAGGTTGAGTTTCATGTAAAGTCGAGGTCAAAATAAGATCTGACATATGTCTGAGGACACCTTACATATCAGTTCTCACTGAAATATGTCAAGTAGTTTGGCAAATGAAACATAACAAATATGACATCTCCATTATACAGTCACTTATAAGCACTTCATGCTCCAAATACACAACCAGTTTCTATATACACATATGCAGCAAAATCTCTCACACAAGGCACACTCATCAGCTGATTTGTTTCAAAGTGAGTTCACATTTTATCATTCAAAATATGGTTCCTTAATCACAGTTTTTCCCCACGTATCAAGAGTGACTGAATAGATGAAACTGTTTGGGAACATCAGTGTGGGTTTCAATGTAACAGATCAACTACTGATGAGATATTTTACATTTGTCAGATACCGGAGAACAAATGGGAGTACAATGAAACAGTACATCAGCTATTCATAAATTTAAAGAAAGTCTATCATTCAGTTAGGAGGGAAGTATTATAAAATATTCTGATGAGTCAGGCTGATTAAAATGTGTTTAAATGAAACGCATAGTGAAATCCATATAGACAGACATGTCTGATAATTTCCCTATTCAGAATGGGCTAAAACAATATGCTTCATCGCCACTACTTTTCAACTTTGCTTTAGAATATGACATTAGGAATGGGTATCCCAAACACTATCAGAATATTGTGCAATACTTCCCTCCTAACTGAATCATAGGCTTTCTTGAAGTCTACAAATAGCTGATGTACTGTCTCATTGTACTCCCATTTTTTCTCCAATACCTGACGAATGCAAAAGATCTGATCTGTAGTTGATCTATTACATCAAAACCCACATTGATGATCCCCAGTAATTTTGTCTGTGTATGGACTTAACATTGAGAGAAGAATATTAGATACAATTTTGTATGAAGTTGATAGCAGCGATATCCCCCGATAATTTTTATCGCCCTTCTTGTGAAGGGGTACAATAATTGATTCCTTCCACTGATCAGGCAATTGTTCCTTATTCCAAGTAGAATTAATTAGCTTATGGATCTTAGAACATAATATTTCACCTCCTGCTTGAATCAGTTCTGCAGCAATTTGATCATTACCTGGTGATTTACATCTTTTCAACTTTGCAATAGCAATTTCAACCTCAAAAGGGCCAGGATCAGGTACTAAAGACTCAACTGATGTATTTCTATCTGCCTAACATCACTGACTCTACGTACATTCAATAACTGAGAGAAGCAGTTCATCCACCTATTCAAAATGTTGTGGGAATGTGCAAGCAGATCACCATTCTCATCCTTCACTAAGTTACTTTTAGGTTGGTAAAAGTCATTTATTCCTCTATACAGGTCTCTATGTTCTTGTTTTTACTGTTCATTGCAAGCTCATCAATTATGTCTTTCAGATACACTTACTTCTAACATTCCAAGTACCAAACCTCATATCCATTTTCCTTCGCTTAGGTCATTTGTCCAAGGAATCCGTGCAGGTCCAAGGATTCTTGTGATCTTTCACAACAAGCTTACAAAGTAGAAGGTATCTGTTCTACTCTGAAGTTCACATAAAAGTTCAAACAGAATGACAACAGAATAGTCCAAATGGATCCATTTCTAAGACTTGGTGCTGATGAATAAAACAAACATATGACAAGGGACAAGAAATAAGGAAGCAAATGCAAAATACTTCAGCAAAGCTAAAACATAACTCCAAATGTCCATTTCATGCAATTTAACAATATAGCATAATGCTTTAATAAAGTTTCTGGACTCAAAACACAATGCACAGACATTCACTCATTTCAGATTGTCAAAATGAGGTGGTAAGAAAGACCATCCCTATGAATGTACTTGAGAAATCTCTACATTGGCTAAGCAGTTCAATATAAGCACTACTTTATCTTCTATATGAACTTTTCCCCCCTCGTTGGTGTCTCCACCTTATTGTGGTGAGGGGGTTTGAGTATGCCAAGGACCCTGAGAGCTATACCAGTGGCAGCATAGCTACTGGCAGGGCCTCCCTTGCTGGACAGGTCAAAGGGTAGGCATCAGACAAAGAGAGACACCAAAAAAAAACAAAAACCAAAAACTGATGCTGGAAGTAGCATCATCAGCAGCGATTTGAAGCACAGAGCAAATGATGCTCAAGATGGTTCGAGTTTGTATAGCAACAGGCGTAACCAGAGTGGTTTGCACGGCTGTTGTACTGCGATGTGGAAAGAAAATGTAAAAACCAAAACATTATCACTTTTCCTGGATAGTCTCTTTCCAAAAACAGAAGATCACATTATATGGAGGAACTATTTTGGAAGAGACTGTGGACCTGTTGTCTGGCAGATTACTGATGAATGAATGAATGAATGAATGAACTTTTTTCATCCAGACTTCATTTCTCTGTCGTCGTTTAGTATGTAGGTGACCATAACCTGTTTCTTATAGTGAAAAATTGATCTATGTCCAAACAAATTTTCTTTGACAACAATTTAATGCATAAAGCAATCAGGAGAGCACAGCATAATTGGAAATGGACTGTACATTCATAATACTGCAATAATAAATAAGCAATATCATTATTTCAGTACGGTTCATTTCAAGAAAAACGTGGATGAAAACTTGGCACTTTTACATTTGTAACATATACCTCTGCCACCTTTGTGATGAAAATAGCAATAATCACAATGCTGGCCAGGAAGCATGATAGGGTTCTCTTAAAAACAGTAAAGATAAAAAGAAGACTTTGAATAACACCCAAAACCTCTACCACAAAACCTGCACATTGCTTTAGCTGCTGTGGCAAAACAAGCAAATTTCTCTGGGAATCCTACATCACGTTATGAAATCAGAAAGTTATATTTAAAATATATTAAATAACACATAACATTCTGATCATACAAAGCTCATGATTGTTCACAATGCTCTTTCTCACACTGTCCTGATGGTAAGAACCTGGGTCTGCGTAAAATGTGTTATTAAACTCCATGGCAAAGTATGGTGACTATCCATGTAAACATTCAGCAATAACATGTATGTTCCAGACATCAATTCAGCAGCATGCTGCAGCACTTAACAATTCAGCCAGAAGCAAAAGACGAATTTTTTCATCAGCAGAATTTCATCTATACAAACTGTATGACATACAAGAATACTACTAATGTGAAGAAGAAACAGTCTGGAGTCTTACACACAATTTTTGGAATTATGAAACCAAAATTCCATCACTAGAAACAATGTAATGATGTCCAATGAAGATCACATAAGCCTGCCTAGATCTAATAACAGCCAGAACTTCTGTTATCAGGCACAAGACAATCCTCATAAAATGTACTAAGCTCGTCTTTGCTTAAGTAATGGTTTGGTGTAAACTGTTGTATTTAAGACTGAGCTGTTTTGAAAATGACCATCAGAGTTCAACAGTTCGGTCAGAATGGTACTGATACTACTTCAAATTTCTCATGTCTTGTACCATGATAATAAAAATATATATATAAAAACATGTGATAATAAATGTAATTATAAATTAACATTTTCAGACACTTCATTTGAAAAAGTTCAACAATGATGTTCATTTAGCAGACACATTCTTTTGTTGCGGTGAGTGAGATAATTGTCGATTTGGATAATCGGCGTTCTACTGTACACAGTTTTAGCAGGATGAAGCCACATGTAAATTAACATGGAGATGTCGTGCAATGTGTTTCAAGGATGACTTTTGCCTCAATTCAGAGATATTAACTAGTCTACATGATCTCCAGATTTGTAGATTTCTGACTTCTTCTGTGTGTTCTGTTTACAAGACACACTAAGCTATTAACCTGGACAAAAAATTCAGGGAGCAATATATGATGGGGTACCCAAAAGAAACCGAACTAATTTTTTTGTGGGCAGAGCTTTTGTAGTACCGCGTTTTGCCGCTATGAGCGAATAGAGCTAACATTCCTGAGTCGATAAGCCGACGATGCTATGGGGAAAACTCAAGTGTTTGAGTGGTTTTCCTGTTTCAAAAATGGTGAAATGTCAATTGATGACAAACCTCGTTCTGGTCATCCTTCCAATGACCCCTGTTCCTCACCCTCCATACTCACCCGACCTTGCCCCATGCGACTTTTTTTTGTTTCCTCGAATGAAAAGAGACATGAAAGGAAAAAACGATGGAGGCGCTGTCAAGCATCTCAAAAGATGAATTTAGACAATGTTTTGAAAAATGGAATAAAAGGCTAAACAAGTGTATTAGTGTAAGTGGAGAGTACTTTGAAGGGGATTGAAGGTTTGTGCTTAAAATTTGAATAAATAAGTTTAAAAAAAATAAGTTCGGTTACCTTTTGGGTACCCCCTCGTACGACTATACAGGTGATATTGCATCGGTACTAGGCATTCCATGCACTGAAGAATGCATTATTCAATTAATATAAAATCTGCTCTATCATATTTCATTCTAAAATTACTATAGCATAAAACTTGTCAGGATTTTCAGATCCACTTTGTATACAGTCTGATGTTTATTCTTCCCAGCAGGAAACTTTTGGCCTTTTGCTTTCTCTAGACACATATAAAAGGAGATGAGGGAGAAGGATGCAACCTAAGAGTTCAGAAAAAAAATTTCATTGACATTATTCGCCTACTTCAGCATAATTTCTAATCCAAATTGAAATTGCAAAGATAATACCTGATATGCCTGAAACCGCAGCTGGGTGGCACGACAAAACTGCTGGGCCGCACGCCCATTAAAAAATCCCTGAGGAGAACAATGAACGTTATAAATAGTGGCTGTTTATTTTAGTGTAGCACTAAACTTAATAAATATGCACTGCACATAATGTTACAATTATGTTAAAAAACTTGGTTCCTGAGCATCTAAATCTATATGGTGAACACAGTAATATGGCTGTTCCAAGACAATCAATTAAATCAACATTTAAAAACCAATTCCCTAATGGGTAAACAGTAGGTAAAAATATGCAATGATTTTCTACTGCTGACTGGGATAACATTACTTCAAAACCATAAAGTTATGCAAGCTTCTAAATTTGGAAGCTCACACAGATCAACTGAAGAATTCCTGTGACCTGCTTCCAAACTGCAAATTGTGAAAAAATAATTTTCATTCACTTCTTAAAAGCTGTACAACAATGTGAAAACAGGCACACTTATACAAAATCTACTCTTACAAGCATGAAACACTCGTATACAAAGACCACAGAATGTGCAAGTTGGTTCACTGTGGCTTACTGTATAACAATGTTTTCATAATATACAATACAGTTCATGACGAGTAACTTCTGAAGTTAAACTTTCACTGTAACGCGAAAGCTTTCTTGCATTCAAGTACACCAAATACAATGCCCATCTATCCAGACTAAGCTTCAATGTTAGTACTGATATATGTTCATTTTAATAGTTCAAAAACTGTTTAATTTCAGAAAATTCCTTTGGGTCGCCTATCATAGAATGTCAAGTAAGATTCATTAACATACTGTGATGTGGACGGCGCAACGCTCGGTAAACACCCCCCTCCAGTGGTGACATAACATTGGAGCATCTGCTTCTGCTACAGTAACAGGCCAGTCAACACTCCATCCCACTCCCCTGCGGTGATGTAACAGCTCTTCCCATTGTGACGTAACAGGGGACACCGCGGGGGAGGGGGACGGAGTGCGACAGTCGCTCGGATGCTGTTATGTCACTGGTGGAGGGGGGGGAGTGTTTACTGAGCGTTGCACTCTCCACATCACAATACCTTTTCTAATTAAGTAGGAAACAAGAGGGGCACGCGGTAGAGTAGTTGGTTGAGGCACTATGCTACAAGCCAGAAGGTCGAGGGTTCAAGTCCCAATGAAGTCATTGGATTTTTTCAATTGACCTAATCCTCCCAGCCGCACTATGGCCCTGGGGTCAACTCAGCCTCTAACAGAAATGAGTGGCAGGAATTAATTAAATAATTTTTCTGGGGAGTAAAGCGCAGCCAGCTCATAAGGCTAACAACCTTACGGCCATCTTTGAGCCGATTGTCTAGATAATGTGGGACCCTCAACGTCTCACAACCATATGGGCCTTCACAGCCTGTTACAGGGATAGCTTTACTTTGCTTTATTTTACTTTACTTTACTAGGAAACAAGCTTACGTCATCCATCCGACTTCTTACATATTTTAATGATGCAAAGCCTACAGTATCTACTCCACTTTACATAATTTATTAAGACATATTCTTTCCACATTCTGAATTTTAATGGGGTAGAAAGCTTATTGTATCCATCATACTTTACACATTTTATTAAGGCAGAGTGCTTTATGGTATGTACACTAATTTATTAGAATGGAAGTCATAGGCTCACCAGTGTTCTCTAACTGGTCCATCAAAGGAATGGCATGTGACATATAAATAAAGGCAATCAAAAGAACATGTTTCCTGTTTTATGGCTTTAACATGGTATGGTGTCTGTTGTTAAAAGCATATGCACCAATTAGCTCTCCAGAATTAGTACAGTTTCACAGTTTTACTCATCAACAAAACTTGACTGGAAGAGCTCTTGGACTGAAACAAGTTACGATTTATGTCAGTACAGTTAACTTTATTATGCCACATGAGCTAAATAAAGCACAAACAGTTTGAGGTATTCTATTTACCAAACTGAAAATGAATAATGTAACATTGTGTACTACCCTGAAGTGCACCCCAACTTAGCGAAGGTAAGATTCTTCAATCCTTTCCATCAACATTAAAACAGATCAATATTTTCCTTACAACGATAAGAAGAGCCAGTTACTCTGAACATGCAAGTTGGGTATGTGGCCTAGCCTTTTCGGCATACCTTTGTAGACACCTGAATGACCTAACCAGCAAGCTGCAAGAAGTTGAATTAACATTATTCCATTCAGAGTTTCTGACTAACACTCATCACTTCCAAAACCACTAGAAAACATTTCAGTAATATGAAGAGTGACAAATTTGGAAGAGACTCTGATCAGTTTAACAACTACTTGCTGACATATATGTGGACTATGATCAGGACAGAGAATTATATGGAGCATTGCTGACCCTTCTGAAGTACCATGTGGTGTAGAGACCGCTGCTAAGTGGTGACTGTAAACGACAATTTCTGGGCAACATCTCGGTAAACACATTCCCACAGCAATAAATATGCACACAACAATGGAATTACTGTTGGAAAAGGAGTGTTTCTATGTGGTCTGTACCAAGGTGTTATATGTGGTCTGTTCAAAAAGTTTCAGAACTTTTGAAATAGTGCGCCAACTCGACGTTTCAGCAATGCCAGGTAAGCTGTGCTGCCTAGTGGCATTCTTCCTAATTATCATCCTTACTGACTTGTCATCCTGTTGTGATTAATCATCGCCCTAGAGCGATTTGTTCACGTGCATGTTGAGTGTGTCTTGCGATATTCGAGACGGCTGATATTGATGCACAGCATATTAACATTTAAATTTTGCTTCAAACTAGGGAAAACATTTAGAGGCTTATGTAAATGACGAAAAATATTTATGATGATCAGTGCATGAGCCATACACGATGTTATGAACGGTTTAAGCAATTTATAATGATCAGTGCATGAGCCATACACGATGTTATGAATGGTTTAAGCAATATAAGGTTAGTCGGCTGTCAACACATGACAAGCCTCGTTTGGGAAGGCCCTCAATGTCATGTGACAACTCTCATATTGCACAAGTTTGTAAAACTGTGTGTTCTATTCGTCATCTGACAGTGTGGGAAATAGCAGAAGAGGGCAACATATCGATAGGATCATGTCATAACATTCTTATGACAAATTCAGAATTGCATCGGGTAGTTCCAAAGTTTGTCCCATGACTTCTGACCCAGGATCATAGTCATATTGCCATCTGTCAGGAACTTCTGGATTGCTCTAGAGAGGATGAAAACTTTCTGAAAATAATTTTAACCAACGACGAAACACAGGTTTATGCATGTGATGTGGAAACGAAAATGCAGTCTTCACAATGGGTCTGAAAAATTTCGCTGAGACCCAAAAAGCTCAGGTCAAACGTGAAAGTTATGTTGATGGGGCTTTTGACATCGAGGATGTTGCGCATTATGAATTCTTACATCAGGGGAAAACTGTGAATCACTGGTATTATCTTGAAGTGCTGAAATGTCAAAGAGAAAATGTCAGAAGAAAAAGACCTCGGTTGGGGAGAAGCAGCTCCTGGTTTCTCCATCATGACAATGTGCCAGATCATGCATTGCTACTGATTTGTGACATTTTAGCCAACACGAACACAACTGTGCTTCCTCAGCCACCCTACTCACCTGACCTAGCTCAGGCAGACTTTTTCTTATTTTCCACTTGAAATCCACTTTGAAAGGACAACAATTGTAGAAGATTTAAGAGATTATGGAAAATTAGCAGACAAAGCTACGAGTTATCCTGAAAAAGGGTGTACCAGGCCTGTTTCCAGAGTGGTAACGACTTTGGGAGCAATGCATCAATGCAGGAGGGGAAAAATTTGAAGGCGATAAGCCTCACTAAGTTACAGGCATGCCCGAAAAAATATAAAAAATAGTTCTGACATGCCTTGAACAGACTACGTAATAAGGGACATATTCAGTTGTTAGGCAGCTCTGTATGGAAGGCTGTGAAGACAGAACCTAAGCATGTGAAGCTGAAGACTCTTAAACATTAAAAGCCACTGCCAGGGAAGGGCTGAAGGCACAGCAGGCTCGAAAAGGCTTAGCAGGTGCTGTGGTGATTTATGAATTGTGGAGATTAGCAGTGGCGCTGTAACTGCTTGTACTTACGAGTCCCGTGCATAAGTGGTCAATAAACTGCACACGAAGAGCAATGGATGTAGATGTACTGACCATACTCAGAATGTTTCCCTGCACCGATAGGAGGAAAACGATGGTGGTGACTAACCTGGATCAACTGGAACATTAGGAGAGAACTGCCTGGGACAAGCAGCCTCAAGATGGAGCAGTTGGCGAGTAGATACCATAAAAACTGAGCAATGGGGAGGAAGGTCAGACCAATCACAGACATCACAAGCACAGACCTTGTAAGAGAAGAAATGGCAGTACACCTGTATGCAATTCGGGATGAATAGCCTTAGGGAGGGATCAATGTGACACACAGACCCATTGCTACACAATGACTCTGTAAACAATGGCCATCTCTGGGAAATGACTCGGCAAACACATTCCGGCTGCAACGAACACACACACAACAATAGTTACTGCTGGAAACAGGATGTTTCTATGTGGTCCGTGCCAAGATGTTATACGCAAGGGCCAAAGTCAGTTGTCGGGCTCCCCATGTGGAGGCGGGGTCAAATACCTCCACCGTGACCCTGCGAGTCATAGGAGATGGCCACAGGTACTTCTCAAATCTGAGACAGTAAAATATGGTCACAAGTCCCAAGGGACTTGGACCCAAGAAAGACTGTGCTGGCAAGAGCTAGCAGCACATACAAAATACAGACCAGTCCTCTGGTGAGAGAGGGTGCCCCACAAAAACAAGACTGCAAGAGTCAAGCATTAATAAATATCTGGTCATAAGCCCCAGACTCAGCTCGACACCACAATTTATTGACTGACCAACTGTCAGTCACAATGTGACTGAGATGTTGGGCAGTTCGGTATGGCAAGCTGTGAAAACAGAACTTAAGTGCGTGAAGCTAAATACTGTCCAATGTTGGAAGAAGTCGCCAGGGAATGGCTGGTGAACACACAGCAGGCTGGAAAAGGCTTGGAGGGTGCTGTT